TCAATTATAAAATATTCTAAAGACTGTCCAAGATAAAAAGAACATAATATCAGAAGTTTTCTATTCCCTTAACCATCATGATGCCTTTTGATGTCTTCTCAGTTTGTAAAACTCTGACACCAATATTCACCAGTATTAGACAATAAAGAAGAGATGTTCTACAACTAACAGACTTTCAGGCTGGTTATTGGTGCCACCCTGTTCTTTAGAAGTAAATTTTAACTCGTTAAGAATGTATCGTTTTCCTTGCTTTTTTATAATGGTCACCACCCGCCTCAATATCACCTAATGGTTTCATGGTAGCCGATTAAATACGATCTATATTATATTTCACTTCCGTCTTATTCAAAATATGTTGATGGAGACACGAGATTTCTAGAAAACCTCAGTTATGTGACTCCAAATGTGTTATGTTCTTTGATGTTTTAAGTGGATAAAAAACATTTTCTCTTTATCTAACTCGGGCTGCAGATTTCGGTCGAATTTTTGTATTCAGGAACTTGGAATGAAAGGCTATTGGAGTATTGAACCTTTTGAGAAGGGTAAAATCCTCAAATATTCTTACGTAGGTGAATATGTTATTTTAAATATACATATTAGAATAAATATATGTATATATGTACATGTGAGTAAATTGTATTCGGAAATGCAAGATAACCACAGGAAATCAAAGCAGAACATATAAGCTATAAGTGATATGTATAGGATATATTGAATCATATTAATTAGAATTGTAGTTATTTTGGTAGTTAACGTGGAATTCAGAACCTCGTGTATTTTATACCATTAATCATTGTAAATAATAGACTTTAGAATGTCTGTCGAGGGAAATAGTATTGAAGCTTTGGTCAAATAGTTTTTGGGATAATCTCGGCAGGGTTAAATCAATTTTAATTTTGTTACGTCAGCTTGTTTTCCACTAAATCGATGTGAGATGCATCTAGATAAATCGCCTATTCTTCTCCAAACCTGAATCTCGCCAGAAGCAAGGAGGACGAGCACACACCATCTCAATTTCTATTGATTTTCTTCTTTTTCTAATTAAAGCGCGTAATGCGATGACATGAATACTTAAACTTTGAAAAAACTAAGTGATTAGAATTCCTTCACCAACTTGGCCAGTTGATAACAAACCATCAGTTGTCGGTCAACGTCAGATTAAACACAAGTTCCATACGTGAATCAATGTATGTGTTTAAACAGTGACCACTTTTCAACAGATTAGTCAAACTTGTAGAAAATGACTTTTATAGAGGAAATTACTGTTTTCATCATGCAGTCAAATATTGAAGGTATTATAAATATTGCTTGGTAAACATGTCAGAACAGTTTATTTCTATTAAATGTAAATGCACATTGAATTATTAAATATATTGATGAAATATTCTAAATTATCCTTTCTTTAACTCATACAGGCAACATGGCTACATTTTCATCAAATGAAAAATATTTAAGCATTGAAATCTATCTTATTTTCTCCTATAAATGCATTTGTTGTATGATTAAATCTCTTATAGGTTGAAATAACATTACAAAATTATTCATGAATATACTGAATCTGTGTCTTTCAGCGAAAAATTGATACTTAAGTAACCCATTAATTATGACATTTAAATCTCTCTAACCTACTTTTGAAATACTCAAATTTTAGTTCAAGTTATTTCCCTTGAGGTGGAAATCTTAAAGGAAATGGCCTATTTACTTTTGTGGCATCAGAAGAACCATTTTTTCATGCTATAATAATTTTGTGGAGGTTTTTTTTTTATTCGTGCGCAGTTAGCATAATGTTTCAAGATTACCTGCAATTAAGATCGTTTTAAATGCGGTCCAGGCAATATTCCTGTAAGGGAGATAATCCTTACCTCGAGTTTAACTAGGCCACATTGTCATTCATCTAAGTCATCTCAGGCTGCAAACGGATGAGCGATGTAAAGGCTTTACAGTTTTCTTAGACGTCAGAGGCAGAAGTAGTTGCAATCTCTGGTACTAATAGGGTAGTTTTTCACATCCAGGAAAGAAATGACTTAACTTGGGATAACATTAGAACAGTACTTTACAATTTACATTGAACAAAGTTGGGTTTTCACTATTTGATTGAACTACCTCTGAGCTTGTTGTGGTTTTTCATCAACTAATTAAGTATCAATGTCAGAATCGTTACGATAGGCCTGACATGTTGTAAGCTATTCCATTTGGAAATTCGCTACTGTTTCCTAAATAGCCTATATGTGGGTACAAGTAATTCTCCATGCTTTTTCATTTACAATGAGGGATGTAAGAAATCAGTCAAAACTTGCTCATTGTTCAAATAAGTCGGAATTCTGTTTTCAGGAACATAACACTTGTTAATGTATTTGTTTATGTGCTGTGAAAATTATTTTCTCCATTATATTAGTTACCTACATAGAAATTCTCAACTCTTTATGGCTCTAAAGCATGATGTAAAACTAGGCTTTTATAATTGTATTATACTGATTCACACAAAATACGATATCCTAAGCCATGGCTCATAGGATTATAATCGTTAATCCATGAAATGCAATGTTTAATAAATGTAAATAATTGTCGTTTATATGTGAATAATATATTTGAATATCAGCATGTTAGTAAAATGTTTTATATAAAAAGTGAAAATTTATACCCATATTTATATCATAACGTTACAACAGTCATGTGGAGAGTTTCCGGCGCTATTTTTCTATGTTTCATTATAAAACTTGAGAACAATGAAACGAGGAAGAGACAAGCATCTGGGACGTATAAATACATAATTGGTGGGTTTTATGACTGCTGTAAAATATATTGTATAATGATGAGACTTTTAAACAATTAACCTGCCCGCCCTCTTGATCATAAGTCGCTCATTATCATGAATTTAAGACAATAATTATATTTCAGCCTTTGTCTTTGCTAGAACCTCGGGCTGTTTCAAATTGGTTATCTTGCTGATCAAGGGTGTAATATCGTCAAACAGGTTCTCGAGATAATTATTATATATTGACCGTAATAAACGACTTGATATACGTAATATCATTTCAGTATACTTATAGTTGACACGCGCCGGGTGAATAAACATATCCACAAAACACTATATAAGATCATAATTGAATATACATAAAATGCTTAATTATTATATTATACAATAGCTAAATTACCTTTTGACATGTACCACAATAAAAAGCCTACGCTCAATTGAATAATGTGCACAGAGGTGTATGCAAATATTTTTTTTGAGCAAAATCTTGATTTCATTTTTACGCCCAAAAATTTAGCTTTTAGAAAAAAATAAGAAGGAAATATCTTTTTTAAATCTATATTCATCTTAATTTTCGTCTAATATTTACATATTTTTTCTTTCAAGCAAAATTGTAGTTTACCACAATAGATTAGGCTATAAAATTTTTTTAGAAGGAAACATTATAATATGGAATTTCAAATATGATATAGGCCTATACTTGACCACTTTATACAAATATATAATTTCATTTGTAAACCATTAGTTTTTCGTGTACTTAAAAGCCGAGAGTTTTGACACAAGCTTTACGGAATCTAAAATAAAATCTATTGTTTTCTTATATTAATGTCAACAAAGAATATAACCCATACTTTAATCATTAACTTTGCAAATATTTCTCCATATCCGCTGTCAGAATAGTCTCTTAAAAACTTCTTTTAAATACAAACATATATATTTAATACCAAAATTCATATTTAATATTTTCCAAGCTAAAATGACCAAAAAGAAAATCCTGAAGACACAATGATTTCCCAATTGTTAGACATGCCTATCCCTTCATTCGTGCGATTGTTCCAGTGAATAATTGTATAACAATACCAATTCCTGAAATTGGTTCCAATAAAATTGAGATGTAATCATCTGATAAACAATAAACAAATGTTTGCATTTAAGATACAAAAATTTACATATGATGGTAGGCTTACAAAATAATAAATTATTACAACAAAACAAAATATACCGTCGAGCACCAATTAAAATATTCGTATAAGCATCCCAATAGAACTAAACCGCTAGGGGTCGATAGTTACAAAGGAAATTGAATGTAAACAAATCTTGTCTCATTGCTCGGGCGCCTTACCATATACGGTATCACAAAGGCGTTCCGATACATCAAAGAAAACTGCCGAGCTCTTAAACTGGGATAAATTTCTTCAACGATGTCCGATTCACGCATTGCAAATAAATTAATATTACGCAAACATAATATCCATACTTTTCTTAAATTATTTTCAGGATATCTTCTGGCCTTTACACAAGCAAGAAAACGAAATTCCAGTCGTTACGCCTCTTGACCTTTGCGAGCGCACGACTGACGAGTGGATTGTTGAGATAGTAGATAGGCGGCTACATCAAAGGTTTTTCACTGAAAACATCCAATTCAAACATATAACAAGAATGTATAGGGGCGACGACGCTCTACTTGGGCTCGGCTTTGTTTCTTAGCAAAATGCAGTTGTCTATGGTCACAACAGGACGGTTATTATTTTTGTTAGCTGGCAAATGTATTTCAGAGTCTTCGATATTTTTTCTAATGTAAACTGATTATGATATGGATTTTTTCCGCAATATGAAGTATTTGTTATGTGAGTGATATAACTCGATATGCTAGAGTGTAAATGGAGAAAAGCAGTTATTTTTATTTATCTGGTGTTTTGCGCTTCAACTTCCTCCGTGATTAAAACATATTTAATCAGTGCACGGTTTAATTAAAATAGAAGTCAATAAGCGAATGAGAAAAAAGTTGAGAAATTATAGAATGTAATAGAGACTATAGAGGCAAGGTACTTGGTGGACAATGGCAGCCGAATGACTAAGACTACAGTGTATCCAGGGCTGTGATTGGTTGATATTCTTAGTACTCTATTCTCATTGGCTACTCTTAGATCTCTTTACTTAGAACATTCATGGCGGATTCAAAACGTGTGTTGAGGGACGTTGTTATCCTGTGTGAAAATTAGATTGTAGTGCAGAACTTTTGACCATGCCGCATATGAGCTCAGGCGGCTCGGAAGATTTTTTCTCAAAGGATGAGGTTAAGGTGTATAAAGATGAGGGAGAGGAAGAAAAACGTTCGTCAGAAAATCTCTCGGAAGAAAAGTTGGGACTTGTCACAGAATCGGAAGAGGTTAGTGCACGGTGCCCTACAATCGCCGATTCTCTTTGATGTCTTTTGATCTTTTTGGACGGCTATTTCTCCTCAACTATTCGCGCTAAAGTGGATTCATGTATGGTTATCGGTAATTTTTATCAAATTCTTTACTATTCCAGGGTAAAAATGGAAGTATTCAAGGGAATTATTCGGCAAACGACAAATCAAGCGGTGGTGGAAACGAAGAGGGTAGGTCATGTTATTGTGAACTATATTTTTCTACAGTGTATTTATTTTCAGCTAAATTGTAGTACAGTGTTATATTATACCGTGGATATTACGTGTTATGTGTTGTAATGGATGTATATTTTCTCTTTTCTATATGGGATAAATTTGACCTACCAACGAAATGAGAAAAGGGAGATTTTAACTCGCTCGGTCATTTCCTTTGATGTGTTAAACTATGCACCTTTTGTCTGCCAAGCCCTTTGTGAACGGTATCTGCATCACAATGGGGGCAATAGCGCGGGATAACATTCCTTTAATGTGGGAAAGGACACATCTTATATTTGGCTCAAATGAGATTTCTGTTAAGATTACTGTACAACTACACTTTTATGACTTTCATAATGTTAAAAATGTAAACAGTGAACTTTGCCAAGCAGGATTTTAAAACATCAATAATATGAGGTTACACTTAAAAAATATAATCATTATTCACTATAAGTTTACAACTCAAAATGTATCATTTAGGCTTATCACACATTATTTAATCATAGTTACCAATCTCTCATTTGAATAAATAATTGGAGATATTTACAATAGTTGATTAGATAAATTAATTGATAAGACTTGATTTATTATGACTTGTAGCAGGACAAAAGTAATAAATTCATAACTTTGTCTGTAGAATATGAATTTATACAAATTATGGATTGCTAATAATCAATGTGAGAGCTATTAGAAATAGGGATGTAATAGGACTAAATCGAAATTATAAATGCCTATTAGTGACTTAACTCGAGTTAAATGTACAAAATGAATTTCGGGGTTATAAAATATGTAAATTATAATTTGACACCAGCGGAATCTGATAATTTCTGAAATTCAAAATCATTCTTTTTTATGCTAAGCTGTTCAACAATTTGCTAAAAATTTATATTAATAAACTGTATCTTAGTGAATAATAATACATATGATTATGTTAAAATATTTGTAATTGACTATATATTGCATTTCTGAATTATTTCTTCATCTTGTAAATCTCTCCAGAAGTCGGTAATTTCCTATCAAATTGATGTATTCAAATGCTGAGATCCACAGTCCCTACTTGTGACCAAGGCCAGTGCTTCTACAAGAGAATATCAGAAAATATATAAAGCCTTCTACTATATTCTGGGCAAAGTACTTATTCTTATGTTCTTTGTATACAGATCTTGTGTTTGATGGAAAATCACAAGAATTTGAACCTGCTACTTTTATTTTCTTTTTGAAATTGAAGTGTTTTATAAGTAAAATTGTGAAAGGTATATTTAAGCTCTAACTACATGAGCTCAGAATTGATTATTTTTGCTAATGCTGGAAAACATATTGTGATTTGCATGCCATTTGTCTATAGAAAAATCTTTGGGTTACTAGGAATATAATGTTAAGGATTACTGGAAGACTCACTAGTAATTTGAAATTTTTAATTTGTTCAGAAATAAAAGTTAAAATGGGATTCTGTAAACTGAATTGATATTTGTCAGACCAGGTAATATGTAATATAAATCTGTTAAAGATTTGAAAGGTAACAAAGTTCATTATAATAATCATAAATATATATTGTCATTGTTACTTAAAAATCATAAATAATACCAAAAACTAGTGATAATTGATTGATATATATTATACTACAATTAATATATCATCATTATCAAATATTACACACTCAAACTTCTAATAATCATATTGTTAGGTCAAAAGTTAAAGGTCAGTTTCTTCTAGCCTCTATGTGGCCTTAATAATTTTCAAATTATTGGAGTCTGTTGGGGGTCATATTTGACCTTTCTTCTTTCCCAACCGACCTTCTCATATCAGAAAATTAGAATAAAATTGATGTCATTAATTTGAAGTGAAGTGATATGCCAACAATTGGTAAATGTCAAAGCTTATTATTCAACTGTTAGTCTTTTACATTCAAATTTAGGTATTCTTCAATAACAGAATTTCAAAATATTATGATGTGATCCGAGTAAATTGTTGGTTTGAGCAGAGACAGGTTAAGTTGAACATAAAATTGCTACCGGTGAGTTACTCCATGCACATAATGTTTGAAATATAAATAGAATCGAACATGATTCCTGATGTATTGACCTTTATGGAATAATTAGAACAGGAAATACTATTTTAATTGTGATGATAGAAATAAACAACCTGATATCACTTGCTGCTCTAGATAGTTTACTGGATATGTAACTCCTTTAATCTTTACTATGACTCAGAGGGTTTTGATGAGATTATATTTCTCCACCTATCATAGCCCAGGTCCTTCTCTCCCTACCAATACCAGTAGTTACTGCTCTAAAACTCTTGTTTCAAAATATTTGATGAGAAAAGCTGAATTTGTACCAAAAACCAAGGGGCCATGTTGAAACCTTTCATGATATTGTAAGAGTCATGTGTAGGAAAATTTGACCGAAAAGAAGTGAGTACATTATACCAGGACAGATATTACCTTCTCTTTCTACAGACAATTATCTTTGAATTTTCGTTTTGTTTTCTACTTTTCTCTCTCTGAATGACTATTTCAACTTTTTTCTTCTGATTATTATGATCGTTAATCCTTAAACTTGTCAAAAAAACTCATTCAAAAAGGTAATTCCAAGCCTTTTCTCTGACTAATTCATTGTTCTTTACTTGACATAGACAAAAATTGCAAAAAAAAAAAACAAACCACCCTATCTCATCTTAGCTGGTTAATATGAAGATATTAGTAGTATCTGTTGACTGTTAAAATAGATTAAATAGATAGTTAGAACCAGTTTATCACAAAAATCAATTCAATATGAAGAATTTCAGCAGTAAGATACCAAGATTCTTTATGCTGTTCACTGACTACATTGATTGTTCAGTCAAACTGTAGTCACTAGTTAGTTTTTACATTATTTATGAAATCTGCTTTAGTCTGATGTTAGATAGCAGTTTTTTTTTAATTGTGGTGCAGATATTCAGGTACTACCTATATCAGTCTTTATCAGTTAGACCACATCTAAGATTGATACAGCAAGATCATCCAGCTGTAATTTTGATTGAGAAACTATTAATAATAAATATGTATTAAATAGTTCTTTAAAAGGGTATAGTTGATGATTTTTATAACTTATCTTATGATGCAAATGTAACATGATGGCTAATGGAAAATAACATGTCCAATTGAATAAAAAGTATATGTTAAAGTGGTTCATTGTTGTATAACTGACTTACACACCCTTCATACAGTTTGATCTTAGAGATCTATAGCTGTCTTCAGAATTGGTCAAGTTATCAAGTAAAATGTGCAAATTGTCCTGTTTTATTTTGTAGATTTAATAGTAGGTTGGCTTCAACATTGATCTTCTAAATCCTGAACAATTTCAAAATTTTCAAACATTCAAGAAAAATTTCATTCCATCCATGTGTTTTAAAAGATTTAAAGCTGATAAAAAATGAGGGTGTTTTTATGCTGTCTCTGGAAGAGATCAAAGACAAGGCGTTAATTAGGACACTAGGACCTAGAGAAAGGATGAAAGGCAATGAGTCAGATGGCAGAGTAGTATGGTTTTAATGTCATTTAGTACTTGTAATAAAAACCAGGCTGAGAAGGCATCTAACTTATTATATAGCTTTTTACTATGTAGATAATATAGATAATCAAATTTACTAGTTTCAATAAAATATTTGAGAATTTTACCATAAAATTTACTGATCTCTTAGAACTACTTTCTGTAGCGTGGGAAATTTTATTGATGACTGGTGACCATTTTGAATTGATGATTTAACATTCCTTTTGAATTACTGCACTAGTGTTTATATACTTCATGACTCTCCTGGCAATTATTTCCAATATTTCTCTGAATTTAGCATCCACAAAACTTTACAGACTGTTTTTGGTTGATTGCTTTCATGTATTCTTTTCATACTATTTCTTTCATTGCGGGGTTGCTTTTAGCCAGTCTTTATGCTGCCAAAGCATTGTTTAACAGGAATTTGTTTATTGTAATGATATTAATGTCCATGATTTATATTTTTTGAGTTGCCTGGAAACAGAAAACAAACCTGTGCCATTGATTCACTGACTAGACTAAATGCTTGACTAATTTCAGTTGGTCTCATTGACTGTTTATTGGTATTGTTTCAGTTGTTACTGGCACATTTATCAATTTCATAATTTCTCTTTCACAATAATACTATTTTCATAAAACAATACTCTTCAGAGGCTGGAATAGCCCCAGGCAAATTTCTATAGCAAGACTAATAGAGAGAATTGATGATTCTGGTTGTGGTTTATTGAATACTGTTATATACTTTGATAGAAAGGTATGCATACATATATTAGCAGTTCTAAGCGCTGTGGGAAATGTTCGTTAATATTTAATATTAATCAAGCTAGCAGTTTGTCTAGAAATTGAAAGAATATATAAGCTTATATTATCTACTGGTGTGTTATTCTCTATCCCTAAATAGGGTTAATCATAAAGAAACTTGATAATAAGACAGAATATGGATAATGTTAGGTAAAACAAAGACTAATCTGTCCAAGTCTCAATTTGTAAATCTTAAGTTTTACAAAAGTTGAATTATGAATATGAAGAGGGCCAACAGCTTTGGTATGATGCTAGTTAAATTGCAAAATGTTTTAGTATGTTTTAGTATGTTAAAGTTTAGAGAATTAGGCTTTCTCTCCAGAAGTAAGTAATTTCCTATCAAATTGATGTATTTCAAAGCTGAAATTCACAGTCCCTACTTGTGTGGCCTTAGGCCAGTGCTTCTTTTCGAGAGTATCCTTCTAGAAAACCTTATACTAATAAATCTATCTGTCAAAAAACATTGTCTCC